GAATAAACCGTTTCCTCCCCAAGTTGCTTTTGGTCATGTTGTTTTGTCACGGTAGTGGGCCTTCACTAAGACAGAGAAGGCTCCACTAGCTCAACCTGGTACTTACTTCTGAGTAGGAGGAGCCTAGAGAAATGGGAGAATAAAGGGGCTTTCCTGTGCTAATAGTGTTTCACACCCTTAAAAGAAAAAGAATGTCCTTTACAAATACTCAGATGTGTTGATAGGAGTTAAGTTTCAGTGGCTGACATAACAATGACTTATTCTTTTCTGTATACTTGAAATATATCATAAATAAAAATTAAAATAGAGGACTGGAGAGATGGCTCAAAGTTTAAGAGCCTATCACTTTTGCAGAAGATCAGGGTTCAATTCCCATCACCCACATAGTGGCTAACAAGTTCTTAACTCCAGTTCTAAGGAATCTGAAACCCTGTTCTGGCCTCTGCAGGCATCAGGAAGGAATGCAGTATACTCATACACATAAAAATAAATATATCTCCAAAAATGAAAAAATAAAACTCTAAGATGACAAAGTTCTGTATTCTCTTTTTTCCAAAATAGGTGTTCCTTAATTTGTGAAGGAACAGAGTTGAGGGGAAAATGAAGAGTCTTGCATTCTCTTTCTAGGATGCATAGTAATTTAACCAGATAGCTAAAAACTCTTATATCTTCTTGTAGTAGTTTTTGGCATTATGTTCCCCTTTAATCTCTTTTACAGAATCACATGTTTTTTAAGAAATTAAAGTTATTTTAGCCAAAGAAGTAGCCCAATGTATTTCGTATCAAAGCTGAAAATGCACTCCTTTTCACAGACTTTTGTAGCACTGTGTGTAGTGCTGTGCTTGGTCATCTTCTGTTCACCTTCTGCTTCAGTCTGCAAGGCGTCCCCAGGGTCTGAGTAACTCACTGTTCCTGGACCAGTGAGGTAGTAGATGAAGATGAATGGGAGGCAGTGGTTGTTTCTTATGCTGAGAATGAAAAAGAAATTCTATTTGGCTCCTTGTAGGGGTCTCATCTTTCACCTTTGGCCCAGTGACACACATCATTTGGTTTCTACAGAAACAGATTTGTTTCCTAGGCAAGGGATCTGGACAGGCTGGTCTTAAGGCCCCATCTTCTTGGTTCCTTATTTCAAGAAGTTTGAGTGAGAACTTTTCTTCTGGTCTCCAGGAGGAAAGGAAAGGCAGACTTGACCTGCAGGACTGCCTGACCATGCCCTGGCTTCTCTTATGGTGTCCGTGGGGTGCAGGAACGCTCTGCCCTTCTCTTACTCTCTGACGTGGTTCTCCATATGTGAGGTACTCTCTGAGCTAGTTTCCAAGAGTGTGTTTTCTGACTCTCCAGACTCAGGACTCATCCAACTCCTGTGTTCTGTAGGGAATGGAGCTATCAATCCCTAAAATAACTAACTAACTAACTAACTAACTAACTAACTAACTAACTAACTAA